AGCTCTGTCGCTTATCAGCTGATCTTTCTGAATTTTAGTCAGTGAAGCAGGTCATCTCAGACAAGGACGTGGCACGGGAAGGAGAGTGGTTTCTAATCATTTAGAGTGAATAGGCAGCACGTGCCGGTACCTTAAGGTATGGCACAGTCACCATGTTGTAATTAATGAGCTTCTGTTATGTTAGAATGTTGTTACTAGAAGTGACCTAAGAATGAATAAAACACCTCTGTATGCTGAGCCTGCAAGGCCAATTCCTTCACTGTCACTGGTTAAAAATAGGTGCAAAATGAACTACACGAACAGCAAAAATCCCTGAGAAGCATTAGAGACATATAATTAATTACTGTATTTTTTTCCAGAAAATAGTGGATGTTAAAATTCTCATTCACTAAACTGTGCTGGACCAAATGTTCAAAAACTGCCTCTTGTGTTCAAATCCTGGAGAGCTAAGCCTGCAATCATACACAAAGATAAACAAAAGAGAATTTTAGATATATATATGATAATGTGTTATAAGCATATTCTGCAGTGGTTAAACAATTGCACAAAACATTATAGAGTATAAAAACTGCGCTGAACCCCTTTGAAATTGTTGCCAGGGGTCTGATAAAAACTCATTTCAGGCTTTTTTTAATAAATGTTAATACTTTTTCAGACCTATAGCATTTGCTTCGGTGATCAAGGTACCCTGAATAACTCTTGTGCAGTACTGGATATTTAATGCATAGTCACTAAACAAATCTAGAAAGTAGCAGTATCATTACTTTCCTCATTGGCTTTCTCTTCACTGTCCGTGTGGTGTATGATTCTGACTGTTGTGTCCACCGGCGTGTCAGGTGTTCTACATACCTTGCACAAGAGGAAAACTTACTTAGCTGGCTCCTACCTCATTCGCCATTGCATGTCACAGTAGCTAACTTGTTCTGTGTTGCCATCCCTCTTCTGTGCTGGGATCCTTCATGCCAGTGGAATCCCAACAGAGATGTGGAGGTGGCTGCATGAAGACTCCAGCATAATCAACAAATGGGACAATGCAGGGACCGTGAGCTCCCCAAGGCATGGCCTATACGCAGGTAGTTCACTGCACAGGCTTCTTCTGTTTAATACAGAAGGATTCGTTTCTCTCAACAGGACACGGTGGTGGCTCTGCAAGCCTTGAGTCTATTCGCAACTCTCACTACTGCAAGCAAAACAGAAATGGATGTAACAGTGACAGCACCTTCTTTGAAAATTCCGGAAACTTTTTCAGTTCACACTCAAAACCGTTTTCTGCTTCAGACCAAGGAGGTACTGTAGAAAGAGAGGAATACTTTTGTAAAGTCTGCTGACTGAAAGTACTTTGAAAATACTGTTTTACTCATCTTTCTTTCAGATTGCCCCTGCACAACCAATGACAATTACAGTGGCAGCGGAGGGAACAGGATTTGCTGTCTTTCAGGTACGCAATGCAGTTATTCTTGCTAAAGACATGCTCTCTATAAGGAAGGTATATTTTGGAAGCTTTATAAAACATGTTAATAATAACAATCTTCTGAAATGTCTTAAATCAGTACCAAAGCACTTTACTAATTGAAGAATGCTGTGAACCAAATATTGTGTGAATGGACATATTCATGTGATTGTTTATGTCTGATGGCCTGTCCTTTTAAGTACTGCTGGATGATCGACAGTTTTGGGGCACTTCCATGGGCCAGAGCCATATCAAAGCAGACCTGTCCTCCTGCAGAAATGCAGTGTCCGTTTGCAAGACAAAGGACTGCAGTGGTACATTGGCAGGCACAAAGGTCAGAGTGAAAAAGGTGTGTGGACCAGGCAGAAATGCCTCATCAGGAACCTGTGGTAAACCGCAGTAAGGCACAGATCAGTACAGAACAAGATTACGCTTCTAGTTATTAGAGTTATTTTCCTTTTATTGAAGTAGAATACAACAATAGTGCAAAAGCTAAAAATAAGAGAGTATTATGGCCAGGTTCTCCAGCAATTTTTACATGGTTCTGAAATAGCATGAAAGACAGAGTCAAAGGATCCTGCAAACTGCCAACAGTAATAGATGCTTAGCATCAGGCAAAAGTGGGGGCATGGCAAAGAGTGGAAGGAGGTATAGTGATCCCCTCTCTGCCTGTCCTGCGGAGGACTGTATTTCAGTACTATAAATTCAAACATCCTCACTTATATTTAAACAAATTAAGCTGGGATCAGTGCATACTGTATTTAGAAGTAGCAAACCGTAAATAGCCTTTTTATGCTTTTCAGCTGCTTGCTTTTCGCCCATAACAGAGATTATGTTCTGAAGAAATTCCACCTCCAAGATTTTCCCTAACCCTGTGAGAAATATCATATGAGAAGACAGTATTGGATCTGATTTGATATGGCCGCTAATGGGTCTCTCTTCCCTGCTGTCCTGTCCATGATAGTGGCTTAGAACTACACAGGTGAAAGAGAAGACCTTTGAAAAGCTACAGATAATAAAGAAATATTAGTCTCTGAGCATGAGAGAGTCATTTTACTGGAAGTATGTAGATAAACTCATAATTGCTGAGCGTATTGCAAAACCAGACAGAGTTCCTACTAGACTCCTTCTAGTCGTACTTGGGAAAACTGAACTTAGGCTGCCTTTAACGGTCTTGAAATTTTATGCCAGGTCAGATTCCATCTCAAATTCCTTCCAACCTGACCTTCACTTCAGTGTTCTTATGCATCTGGGAAACAAAAAAACATGGTGATGGTTGGTAAATATGCTTTTGGATAAAAGACCTTTATAAAGAAACCTTCACAGCTAGAGATACACCTCATTCATTCAGCACCAGTCTGCAAAACCCACAGTGCCATAAATCATGACCCGTGTTTATGGGTTATGCATTTCACTTTCCCAGAAGTGCAAATGAAGTTTACAGCAAAGTTCAAAAGTTTCAGAGGATAATTTAGATTCAGTCCTGCAGGCCAAGATAGGAATGAACATCTCAGCAGGACTGCGTTCACACATCTGTGGTTTCAGTGTGTGTGTATGTATGTGGAATGTAACAAAGTGGCGCTCCAGAACAGTTAAGACTACTTAACCTTAATCATTGTTGAGAAATACTCCCTGATATTAAGTCAACTAATTTGTCAGACGAGCTGATCAAAAACTTTTCAGCAAATTGTTTCTTGCTGGAAGATGCTGATTTGTTGAAATGAATGCCTTTTGTGGAAGCACATTGGTTCCAATTACGTTTTTGCCAGCAGGAAAATTTCACATCCAAACCAGCATGTCTGGTGAAAACTGAGCAGAAGTCTTCCACGCAGAAGAGCCAGTAGTTGACTCTGTGGTTAGAGGGCTTCCTGGGCATGTATAGCACCATGGTTTCAGTTCCTGGTTTGTTGTAAGAACATGCAAATGCGCTCCCAAATAACCAGTGTTCAGGAACCAATGCCAGGTTATCTTCTTCATTTAGGTCTCTGTGCTGCTGCCTTTTTTCCTGCAGGATTGAGTCAGAGATACTGTGACTTGATTCAAAATACTGTACTTAACACACTGGAGTAGCTTCTCCAAAACCTTTTATTTGCTGGGATCAATTCTTTCTTTCTGCTTCCTTTGGCAGGTCTGGTATTTTAGAAGAAAGAGCACTAATGCCATTTGAATGAGATGTCACTTTTTCCCATACACAAGCTAGATCTGGGTCGCATTTAATAAATCAGATAGCATATGACATTGTGATCACATTTCTTCAGCTGGGTTTCATTGTCTTAGGCCCGCCAAAGTACAGTGGTGAGATTCACTGTTCTGGGATTTGACTTTCTGGCCAAATGTAGCATGTCAAAACAGTAATTCATTTAAATATCACAAAACACAAGATTCGGTCCATTAATGGAAAAGGCTGCTTTCCCAACAGAATGGATTCTTAGAAAAAAACCCCATTTTTTTTGTGAAAACTCCCTGTCTGTGTGTGCGAGTTGGCAGTGCATTCACTCTTGACCCTGCAGGATCTCATAAAATGTATTTATTTTGGATAGTATAATTGCAAAAGCAGACATTTACTTGTAGCTTTGTTGTCCTGCTGTCAACAAAGTCTCCTAGCTCATCCCTTCATTATGTGGGCACATACTATGGATGACCTAAGGCACTGACCGTGCAAGAGGAAAGAGGGGATGATTGTAGGGTTAGAGTATATGAAAGGCACTCTCTAGAGAAAGGAGTTGAAGAAGCGGTCTTCCCTAGGCGGCCTGCTGAAAGTCTTGAAGGAAAAACCTCCCTGCTGTCTGGAACCACTGTGAACTGGCCTTGGCAAATGCTTCAAAAATTTGGTGTGGCCCATGCCTTCTGGAAGGAAGGAGAATGCCACTGAAATCCAGGACTAGCAGCGAGGGGAGGGTGGGCAGGCTCAAGGAGGATGGGTGTGGGCAAAGTGCAGAGGTGAACAAGATCTCCTTGATCTCCTGGTCATGTATAGAGAGGGAGTGAGGAAAAAACTGAGAATCACCTGTTACTCATTACTGAAACTCACTGAATGATTTTTCCACTCAGTGTATTTTTACTAGACTTAGGCAAGGGACTGAATGTTATTCAGTGTGATGGTACTGAAAGAGGCACACTGTGAAATGCACACATATTTCTCTGCTACTGTTTGAGTGGATACTAAGTAGTCAAAAAGGGACAGAAAAATATTGGAGATTATTTCATTGAATTCATACCCTCAGTCAAGCACATTTGTGCTGCTAGTTGAAGAACACAAAGGA